CCTGGATGTGAGACTTGGAGTCAAGGGAGATCATTTTGGAGCTTTAAGATCTGACTGCCTTGTTGGATTTTGGACTTGCATGGGGCCTATAGCTCCTTTGTCTTGGCCAGTTTCTCCCATTTGGAATGGCTTTATTTACCTAATGCCTGTACCACATTGTATCTAGGAAGTAACTAACTTGCTTTTGATTTTACAGGTTCATAGGCAGAAGGGACTTGTCTCAGATGAGACTTTGGACTGTGGACTTTTGAGTTAATGCTGAAATGAGCTAAACTTTTGGGGGACTGTTGGGAAGGTTTGATTGGTTTTGAAATGTGAGGACATGAGATTTGGGAGGGGCCAGGGGTGGAATGATATGGTTTGGCTCTGTGTCCCCACCCAAATCTCATCTTGTAGCTTCTGTAATTTCCTCGTATTGTGGGAGGGATTCGATGGGAGATAATTGAATCACGGGGGTGGGTCTTTCTCATGCTGTTCTCGTGATAGTGAATAAGGCTTATGAGATTTGATGGTTTCAGAAAGGGGAGTTTCCTTGCACAAGCTCTTCTCGTGTCTGCTGCCATGTGAGATGTGCCTTTCACCTTCTGCCGTGATTATGAGGCCTTCCCAGCCACGTGGAACTGTGACTACGATAAGCCTATTGCTTTTGTAAATTGCCCAGTCTTGGGTATGTCTTTATCAGCAGCATGAAAACAGACTAATATAATGCATATGCATGGAAAGTTTTATATACTGTTTTGGGGGATTTGTAACCCCCCCAGAAGACCATTTATGCACCACCTCAGGTTGAGAAGCCTGCTTTAGGGCCCAGGATCCCTATAGAGGACACATATTTTTAGAGTGTCTGCTGAAATAGATGCTAACTGCATGTAAACTTCAAGAGTGGTATGCAAAAGCATTATGTTATTCTCTTATTTATTCTTTTCATGAATTCTGTTGAAGCCTGACTTCTCTATTTTGTGGGTGATGACTGTTAGTGTCAAACATCTGATCATTTTCTATATATATTTCCAGCTTAAGTTACTCTCTAGAGGTAGGTCAGAGATGAGACTTTGATTTAAATTGAAAACAGATTATGCATGTAATTTTAGAGATGCTTACTTCTGTGATTTTCACAGTGTTTCATCCTGTTAGTACAGCTTGTGCAGACTTAAGGCATATGAAAAATAGAACAAAATGCTGAGATGAAATTGGTGGAATTCCTCTTTCATCCGGCTCTGGTGTCTGTTTACAGCAGATCACTCCCTGTCGTTCCCTTTTTCTCCCTCCCTCTTTCTCTCTCTGTCCAACATAGGCAATAGTGGGGAGAGGAGGTTTTTGTAACGTTGGGTGAGGAATTTGGATTTTATGGAAGCCAGAACAAATATTTTCTCCTTTATGACCCTGGGGCTAATATCCCACATGCTGTTTGCAAATTGCAAAAAACTATTCCTTCAAGTGAGTTCAGAGTCGGGTAACTTTTTGAGGAGGAGTGTTTTTGTTTTGATCTCTCCTGAACTCACAGATTTTACTTTCTGTGCCTTTCTTGTCAAGTACGTTTCCTACGTGCAAAGTAAGTAAAATCTGTTAAAACTTTAGTTGTCATTATTCTCATGTGTGAACAGCACCTTTTAGCTCACATTAAAAAACAAAACAACACAAAAAACCTCTTCTAATGAAACCTTGAGGAAGAAAATTAGCTGGAGTTTAGAGGCTCTGATTTTAAGCCTCCACTGTAGTGGAATAATGTACCTCCTCTGTAGTGGAATAATGATGTGACATGCTTGGTGTAAAACCTCAGTTTCCAGTGGAAATCACCTTACCATCAAGGCAGAAATCACTGGATCTGGCTTTCCAGGTGACAGAGATGGGGCACTTCTTTGCACGCTCTTTGCATCTGCCCTTTCATAGAGAACTGGGGAGATGGAATTGGACTCTAAAGAAATACTCTTTTTTTCTCTTTTTTCTATGTGAAAGAAAGCTTATGGCTACATAATAAGGAGAACATGGGTCATAAGACTTCAATTCGTTTTCTACTGGGGGATCACAGGATTTGTAGCACGGTCTTTGGCTCTGTACATTTATTCTGTCACTGTCTTCTGAATAACCCTGTGCATTTCCATTTTTCTTCTTTTGTTACCATGGCCCATCTGCCTCAAATGCAGGTCATCATCTTGTCTTTCTGTTTATCTCTTAACTCATTCCCCAACATCCAGCTTCATATACCTATCTGTAAAGCCTTTTCAGTGGATCTCTTCACGGAGGTGGTCTCTTCCTCTTCTGAATTCCTATCGTGAAGGAGCATAGATAGACCTAGGTTTCGGTCTCAGCTCTGCTGTGTGATTGTTGAAGTCAATTTCCTTACCTATAAAAGAGTAGTAATAATCTAAAGTAGCTTTGTAGGGTTGTTTTACAAAATAGTGACTATGTATAAATCTGTCAGAGTGTCCAAAAGTAACAAAAATGACACTAAAATAAAATTAATACAATAAAATTAAAATTAATTCATGTGAAGTGCTTAGCAGAGCACCTGTCATAGTGGTGAGCTCTCAGGTTTTGTTTTTCATCAATACGTGGTAGAGATTTACTGTTACTGTTGCTCCTGCCACTACTTCCATTACTATTGTGTTACAGTTCATTTGGTTCTTAATTATTCAGAGGCAGATTTAAAGGGAAGCCCATCTAACCAGTTTTAGAGCCCTTCGCTTACAAAGGAACCACTTACAAGACCCTGGATTTCACCTAGCATTGTGTCCTCCAATTTTCAAAATAAGATGCTTTAGCTGTGGTCGGTTAAGATGGTTCTCTTCTTCCACTCTTCTTCCCTGTGTCATTCTTCTCTTCATGTTGGGTAGTATTAAATTGCCACTGGCTTTTTTCCCAGCCGAGGGAACTCGAACTGGGAGCATATTCAGTTTGGGTTAGTGGGATAACTTACGTGGTCCACAGCCACTGCTGTGTATAGTTGCTATTGCTGGGCATCTCGGTGTTGGAATGGCTGCCAGGAATACTCTGCCATCTTATTTGACTCACCTAGGTTTGTAACATGGATTTGTAGGGCCTACCATGAATGCTAGTGTAAGCCCCCGTAATGCCATGACAGTGTGGATGTGGTTGAAAAACCAGGTTATGAATTTTCTTATGTCAAAGGGTATTTAGGATTAGCCACACTACAAGAAAACTTGAAATGCCCACAGATTTAACAGTGGTCCTTAAAACTCTGCATGATTTTCAATAATGAGTTATGAAGTAGAAAGAAACCATTCCAAACTGTTAATGTTAAATTTTAAAATTAACCACGCTAAAGGAAAGTCTTAACTATTATTTCCTAGACAGTATTACAAAATCATGGGCATATGATGAGGTGATCAAAGATCCTAAATATGTGGCAAACATTATAGAGACTAAGGAATTAATAAACATATTGTTACTTTTCTAAATTTTGTTTTGTGTTGCCAGCTTTTAAAATTTGTAATATTTTTGTGATTTCTGTTCTCATTCTTAACAAACATTCTTTGTACCTAATTTCATATTCATAACTTCATGTTTGTTTTCCTGTTGGAGGCTCCACTGTGACTATCCCAGTCATAGTCTTCCTTGAATCATATCATTTGTTGTTGTATTGACCTACTAATTTAAATCTTTAATGGCAATATGCAGTTCCTCTGTGTGTATCTTGGCTCTAAATAGTCTGCGACTTGAGGGCGGGAAGCTTGTCTTCTGTGTAGTGTAATATTTGGAACATCGTATATATACAAATACTCATTGATGAGAGAACATCACAGTGTAAGGACGTGAGTTTCTCTTCTTTAGTTGTGGGTTTGCGAGTGGGGCAGGTACTTCACTGGCTCTTTTGGAAGGGCTGACAAGTGTTTCTGTTCAAACGTATTATAGCTTTGACAGATGAGAGGCCGTGGACTAGTTTGTGTGTTTCTTTATCTTTATTTTAAAATAATTTGGCGTTAGAAGACCTGGGTTCTGCTTTGATTGCTGAAACTTTGTAGTTTTGAGGTTGTAATAATCTCCTCACGTATTTGAGCCCTATCCTCTTAATCTGCAGAAAGGTGATTGTAATTTCCACCTTACAGAATCATTACAAGGACCAAATAATATTGTGTGTGTAAACAGAATTTTAAGTTATAAAATATTATGCAAATATAAAATATTATTCTCTGCTTTGCTTTATTCCTTCTGAGTTCTGAAGTATTATGAGTCCTCTGGTTCTTCAAAACTATAGGTTACAATTCTAATTTACAATAACCTTCTCTTTAAAAAGCTCCCCTTATGGCTTAGTTAGATGAGATAGCAAGTTTTAAAATCTATTTTCCTATATTGGAAAAATATTTTATCTAGAGGACAGATGATTATCCTGGGGTTTTTTTTTTTTTTTAAAGAAAACAAAAATCTGGTTTTAAATTTCATGAGTAAAGAAGAAAAATTTCTCTTTGACATTCTTGGATTTAAAAAGTGGTTCAGTGATATTTGTAGAAAAGATTAGATCTCCTATGCCTAAGGGAAATTTTCATGCCTGAACTAGCAAACTTTGAATAATAAGAGGCTTTAGTGGAAATTCCAGCATATTTTTAAGTAAAAGAGCTGCCAGTACAAATCAGTGAGTTTACATACAAAATAAACAGCTTATTAAATAAATAGCTATTAAGAATGAATGAGTTCAGGACAAGAAAATGCCATGTAAATAGATAGGACTCCAGGTTCCATAGGCTGTGTCCACCTAAGAGGTTTTCTTATTTCAATTTTTAGAAAGTGTGTGAGTGTTTTTGTTGTTGTTGTTGTTGTTTTGGTTTTTGATACAGGGTCTTGCTCTGTCTCCCAAGCTGGAGAACACGGTTTGCTGCAGCCTTGAACTCCTGGGGTTCGAGGAATCCTCCTGTCTCAACTTTCCATGTAGCTGGGACCACAGGGGTTTGCCACCATGCCCAGCTAATTTTTTAATTTTTTTGTGGAGACAGGGTCTCACACTCCCGCTTTGTTGCCCAAGCTGGTCTCAAACCCATGGGCTCAAGCAATCCTCCTGCCTCGGTCTCCCAAAGTACTGGGATTACAGGCGTGAGCCACCATACCTGGCCAAGAGTTTTAATACTGTCTTTTCCCAAACACTCTTAGTAAAATGAAGCAACAGAAATTTAATGTCCTGAGATTATTGTGCCATGAAGTGTTAGGATGAATGAGATACACACACACATACACACACGCACACACACACACTTTTTTTTGCATATTAGGAAAAAGTAGGGAACAGTATGAAAGAAATCAACAAATAAAGTATTTCTGCTTAAGAATCAGAGAGTATATATTTTTCAAGAAATGCTGAAAGAAACCATATGCTTAGGCATTAAACCAAAGCATTATGAACATAAAATCGTGACCTCCCAGCTCTCTCTTGTGGATTGTATTCATATTCATTTGAAAGTGTTAGTTGAAGTCTTTAGAATCTGGAAGAATTTATTATTACTTGAAAGTTAGCGGCACTCATTGGAGAGCAAAATCTTGGACTCTGCCTTGTTACATACCTAGCTAGATAAGGTACTTTTTAAAAACCTTCCTCTTCTTATGTGTACAAGTTGGTGTTAGACTTCTCTGGAAGAAAAAACTGTCCTAGAGGCCAAATCTAGTCACTCTGTAGTTGGGCTGATGATCAGGAGACCCAGGTTTTGCCATATGGGTTTACACTCTGATCTCAGCAAGTTACTTAATCCCTTTATGTTAAGCTTTCCACCCATAAAGCAGATACCTAGCCCTCTCAACTTGCATAGACATATAGGTTATAGAATCTTAGAGCTTAAAGGTATTCTGTAAACCAGTGTTTCTCAGCTTTGGCACTGTTGACATTTGGAGCGGATAATTTTTTGTTGTGGAGAGGCTGTCTTGTGCATTGTAGGATGTTTAGTAACGTCTCTGGCCTCTAAATACAAGTAGCAGTATCCCAGTTATGGCAGCTAAAAATGACTGCAGGCATCTCCAGATGTCCCATGGGTGGCAGTATCCCAGTTGGGAACCACTGCTGTAAGACAGGATTCAGCAAGAGGCAGCTGAGGCCCGGGAATGTTCAGTCCTGCTTTAAATCACATCACTATTAAGTGGTGGGATCAGGACTAGAACTCAACTTTATTAATATACTGCCAACCCGTCTCTCCAGCTTTCCCCTTAAATTCAGAGTTTCATTCCATTCCAAAAGCAGTGGCGTATGTTTAAAATTTCAACACCAAAGCAACGATTGACAAATTCTCTACATTTACCGATGATGTATTACCCACCTGCTTCCATTTTACTACCCCCAAAGCTCTTACCATACCTTGGTAAAGAAACATTGCTTTCCTCATCCTTAAATGCTTACAAAATGCTTGGGCAACATTTATTAAGAGCAGTTGGAATGGATGGTTTGGGAGGTGTCAGTTCGCCATTATAAGCCGTGTAGGTGAGTGTAAGTTGGATATGATCTGTGGGACATTGAAAACTGTGGAGTTCCGTGCTAGTGAAGAGCACTAGAGGGTCTCTGGAATTGGATGTCTATTTATCAAATAAATCAACCTGCTGCCTTAGGTGTATGCTGAACCTCCTTGTGTCTCCCATTCTTTCTTTATATACTTTCCAGTTTATGGTTTTTAATAAAGGCAAATTCTGCACACTTACTAAGCAGCACTTAGTACATTTTGTTTGGTTGTTTAATTCCATATCTGATGTTTCAGTATCATAGGTTTTCAATATATGGAAATTCACTTTTGGCTTGGGAACATGAAGGGGAAGATACACAAAAGGAAACCTAGATGAGAACAAGCAAGCTGAATAAAAGTAGTTGTCAGAAAATAAACTGAATGATAGGTAGGAAAGCTTTAAACTATTAAGTAAGTGCTGTGCTTTAAAGTTAGGGGCAGTAGCCTGAACATCTGGATCCTGGAGTGCTTTCAAGCTCTTTGCTGAGAACATTTCTAGATTTCAGTGTGGTCTGGTTAGCAGAATCTTTTCGCTGACAGCCATGTAACAAAGTTGTCTATCTTTTGAAAACTGCAAACTACTACAGTGTTGAAAACCTGAAATGCTTTGCTTTGAAGGTAAGGTGCTTTAAAAAAAAATCTATTGAAATCTTTGAACTCAGGTATAATTGGCTTGTTACGTAATAAGATTCTGAACATGTATACATACACAATATGAAAGAATTTCAAGTCCCAAACTTGAGTTTGCAAATGAAGACAGACATTTGGAGTAACTATGCACCACAGTTAGGTTTACTTGCTGTTTTTCTGTTCCTCCTCTTAAGTACATTATAAACTACCTTAAGCTAATGTATTGGCTAGCTAAGATTCCTACAGGGTTCGTTCTTTTCATTGGGCATCAGCAGTGTCAGTGGTGTTTTCCATTAGAAATGTAATGGAACTGAGAGACACTGTGGATTGGCTTAGAACCGAACCACAGTTAAAAGTGGTCATTGAGGGTCGGTGAAGGATCCCAAGATGGCTGGACGAAAACTTGCTCTAAAAACCATTGACTGGGTAGCTTTTGCGGAGATCACACCCCAGAACCAAAAGGCCATCGCTGGTTCCCTGAAGTCCTGGAATGAGACCCTCACCTCCAGGTTGGCTGCTTTACCTGAGAATCCGCCAGCTCTCGACTGGGCTTACTACAAGGCCAGTGTGGCCAAGGCCGGCTTGGTGGATGACTTTGAGAAGAAGTTTAATGCCCTGAAGATTCCTGTGCCAGAGGATAAATATACTGCCCAGGTGGATGCCGAAGAAAAAGAAGATGTGAAATCTTGTGCTGAGTGGGTGTCTCTCTCAAAGGCCAGGATTGTAGAATATGAGAAACAGATGGAGAAGATAAAGAACTTAATTCCACTTGATCAGATGTCCACTGAGGACTTGAACTAAGCTTTTCTGGAAACCAAATTAGACAAGAAAAAGTATCCCTATTGGCCTCACCAACCAATTGAGAATTTATAAAATTGAGTCCAGGAGGAAGCTCTGGCCCTTGTGTTACACATTCTGGACATTAAAAATAATAATTACACACACACACAAGTGGTCATCTGAGGACCAGCCTGGGCAACACAGTGAGACCCCCATCTCTACAAAAAATAAAAATGAGGGCTGGGCGCGGTGGCTCATGCCTGTAATCCCAGCACTTTGGGAGGCCAAGGTGGGTGGATCATGAAGTCAGGAGATTGAGACCATCCTGGCCAACACGGTGAAACCCTGTCTCTATTAAAAATTAAAAAAAAAAAAAAAAAAAAAGATTAGCCAGGCGTGGCGGCATGCACCTATAGTCCCAGCTACTTGGCAGGCTGAGGCAGGAGAATCCCTTCCCACAACCTGGGAGGTGGAGGTTGCCGTGAGCCGAGATTGTGCCGTTGCGCTCCAACCTGGGTGACAGAGCAAGACTCCATCTCTAAATAGATAGATAGATAGATAGATAGCCAGGCATGGTAAGCCCAGGAGGTAGAGGGTACAGTGAGATAGGATTGTGTCACTGCACTCCAGCTTGGGTGACAGAGTAAAACCCTGTCTCAAAAAAAAAAAAAAAGGTCATCTGAGTTACAGCTTTGGTAGTGGATGAAGTGCAGGGGCAGAGATGAGTTGTCACTTAGAATTTATAGCCGACTAAGTCTGGATTCAAGGGTGTATCATGCAAATAAATGTGTGCAATGGATGGAAAAGTTCCCTGAGGCAAGGGAAGAAGGGAGCTACTCCAGTGTTGTGTTTGAGGGCGTGGGTTTTTTTGTTTTTTTCTTTAACTGTCAGAATTTATGGATAGCATAAATTTGGGAAGCTTGAAAAGTATACATAAAGAAAAATAATTATTCATAATCCTACTATGTTAGGGAAACATTGCAACAATTCAATATTTGTAATATATCTACTATCATTTCTGTACATTTTAAAAAATAATTGAGTTCCTACTCTAAATATAATTAAGTATGCTACTCTTTTCATTCTCTTGCTCCGAATTCTTTAGGGGCTTTCTGTTGCTCTTGGTACAAAGCCCAAAGCCTTGAGCTTCTTAATACTGCTCCGATTTTCCCTCCCTCCAGTTGCCTCTTGCTCAGTGTAGTTCTGCTCCCTTGGCTTGCTTTCATTTTCCCACACATGCCCAGAGCTGTTGCATGTGCCGCCCATCGCATGTGATATGCTCTGCAGCCACCTTTTTGCTTATGGCTGAACCCTGCTTATTCATCATATTCCATCTTAAATGTCACTTCCTGAGGGAAACTTTTCCTGATCTCTCAGATTCGCACCCCCTATTATACACTTTTGTGGACCCCTATACTTTTATAGTATTTATTGCAATTACAATTAATTATATATGTATAATTAGAATGTTGTTTATGTGTGTTGTTTATTTGTGTATTATTAGAAGGCAGGGACCATGAGAGTAGGAATTGTTCATTGCATTTCTTGGCCCAAATATAGTACCTGCTAGGTGCTCAATAATGTTCAATGTTTGTTGAATAAATGAGTGAATATATTAATGAATGAAGAAATAGGCAGGAGTCTGCTTCCTTCATACATCACACACATGTTGAAAGATATACTTGGTAGTGAATTCTGAAAGTCTAATGTAGTGAATGAAAGTGTAATATTGGACTCTTTTTTTCATGTGCTGTGTTAAATTTAAATTTCAGTAATAAATCTTAGAAAACTGTCAGCATTAGGTCTGTCAAACATGTGAGAGGCAAAAAAGTTCAAAGAGAGAAAGTAAACCAACGTTGTTTCCCCACTTACTAAAGTTAGGTTTTGTAAGAGAATGGTGCAGTCTAAATGGAGAAATACACCTGTTAGGAATATCTTCTAAAGATCTGTTTGCATATACTAATACAAATATGAAAAACTCTTATTTTTTTATTGGCACATGAGGACTTTTGACTAAGATTTGTTCTAAGAGGCCCAGCGCAGTGGCTCATGCCTGTAATCCCAGCACTTTGGGAGGCTGAGGCAGGCAGATCACGAGGTCAGGAGATTGAGACCATCCTGGCTAACATAGTGAAACCCTGTTTCTACTAAAAATACAAAAATTTAGCTGGGCATGGTGGCACACGCCTGTAATCCCAACTATTCAGGAGGCTGAGGCAGGCAGGAGAGTCACTTGAACCTGGGAGTCGGAGGTTGCAGTGAGCTGAGATCACAGCATTGCACTCCAGCCTGGCAACAGAATGAGGCTCCATCAATAAAATAAATAAATAAATTGTTCTAATATAAAATGTAAAACCAAGGAAATCAAATAGATAGAAACAAAAGAGTCTAGGTTAAAGCACTACGGAAGTACTGAGTTGCGATTGTGCTGTTGTTAACTTGCTACATGACCACTTACTAAATAGGGGCTACTTTTTCACCATCTTAGGAAGAAACTGAATATACCAGACATCTTAAACATAACAGACATCTTAAGTATTGTCATCTAAGATTAGGACAGGTTTCTAAATGTTTATGTCCTTGGCTTGCAACCACTCAGTGGACACATACAGCCACGTAACCCACTGTGTCTCAAATGTTGATGTACATGATGTTAGTTGCCAGGCATTTTGTTATTTATTTTATTTATTTATTTTTTAGATGGAGCCTTACTCTCATCCAGGCTAGAGTGCAGTAGTGCGATCTTGGCCCACTGCAACCTCCGTCTCCTGGGTTCAGGTGATTCTCATGCCTCAGCCTCCTGAGTAGCTGGGATTACAGGTGCGCACCACTACGCCTGGCTAAGTTTTGTATTTTTAGTAGAGACAGAGTTTCTCCATGTTGCCCAGTCTCTGGTCTCGAACTCCTGGCCTCAAGTGATCCTCCTGCCTCGGATTACAGGCATGAGCCACCACACCCAGCCCATGTAGAAGGCATTTATATAATGAACTGACATCCTTAGAGTGAACTTTAAGGTTAGTATAAATAGGTAGGGGTTTGGATTCTCTGATTATCTTCTTGGTCTGTTCACCTCCATCCAGAAGGCCTGGGTCTGGATTGGCACCATGGATCTGGTTGAGACAAATAATAAGGCAAGGGCTTGTATGTTCTTTCTTTCACTTTATCATACTTCATAGCCAGTACATAGTAGTGTTTATTATGTTATGTTATTTCCTCTATTTTAAGTTCTTCTCAAATCCAAGGGCCAGTTGTTTGGGCAGATGTTTACCAGGGACTCTAATCACCTGCTCTTCCACCCAAGGGAAGGCAGCCTCTGAAGTCTCATTTCTGTTACCGGAAAGCTAGTTCTGCATTTTCCCTTCCTGCAAGCAGGGAATGGTTCTCTTTTGATGTTTCTAGCTGTGGTTGGCTTGGAACTGACTTCTTTGGTGTATTGGGGTACGTGCTCAGTTCATGAGTAATGAACACATTTGGATTCTTCTTTCCTTGGGTAGATACTGGCCAGAATTATTCTTTACCTATGCTGTACCAGTAATAAAGGACTCCTCAGTTTGTGCTTTCTCATAATTCACCAAATCTAGTATAATTTGGTTTATTATTATCATTAAATATTTGCTGTACACCCACATTTTGCTGACGTGTGGCACTTTCTAGAACTGTTAGAGGATTACCCAGAGACAGTGCAGTGGTGTGTCTTGGGGTTGTGGAAGAGAGCTGGAATATAGTCACTGCCCTCCAGGAGTCCCTTTGTGGTATATAATACAGAAAAGCCTTTTTCTTGTCCCCTCCACACCGCATCCCCCGCATCCCATCGAGCTGCTGAGGGTGAGGGGAAACACCATAAGAGAGGAACGGCAATAGTGAATATATCTTAATTTCTGTTCACCATGCTCTTCCCTCAATAGTTTGAACTTAGAAACAATTTCTAAGAGGGAATTTCTTAAGTAGGTACTATGAAAGTTGGCAAATTTTGGAAACAGTTTTTAGTATCTGTGGTTGGCGTTCTGCATTTCGGGACGCCTTGCCTGTAGATTAATCCCAGCTGGCCACCCTTCCACAGCACATGCTCAGGAACAGGTTGTATTGACTCCTTCATTTGAGATTCAGTGAAATTCTCAAGTACCTCTGGAATCATTTGATGAACCTCTCTGGAACGTTAGTGATGCAACTTAATGTCTTTTGCAGGGACATTTCTTCTCGCATCTTATTGATACTGGGTTTGAGGAGCAGGCTGACGTCTGGTTGTGTAGTCAGCTCTCAGGTTTTTCCTACTAATGGGGAAGGGAGGCATTATAGGGAATGGAAAATTCAAGTTGCAAAGCATTAAAAACAATTTAAAATTATGTTTCATTTAAACTAACAATTGCTATATTTCTGACCAAATAATATTTACTTCAGGATGTTTTCTTGATTTATGTTTATATTACAAGTTGCCACTTTATAAATTCTATAAATCATGGAAAGTAGTTTAAAGTTGTGATCTTCAGATTTTAAAATTTAAAGCCTATTCTGAATTTTCTTATATATATGTGTGTGTATATATATGTATATACATATATATACACACACACACGCTTTGCACTGTAAGATGTTGAGTTTATGACATTATTAAGGACTCTGGCCCTTCAGTTCTTGAAAATTTAGTGCTTATAAAATTATGAGGACTGTATTAGTTCTAATCATTTTCAGTCAGTGAAAAACCTATATACTTTATGAAGCACACAGGAAACATCTCCTTTTCTGCTTAGTTCCCCTAAAAATGTGGATCAGATCCATCCCCTGGGCCTAGTCAGTATTGATTGAGTGTATACCCAGGTCATCGTGCTAAAGTGTCACCCCAGCTCTGCCCTCCAGGGGAAGAAGAGCTAGCCATTCCTTTTACTGTGCATGCATATGTGTATAGCTCACCTATATCCAGAAAACTTAGCTTATAAGTGAACAGCTTTTTAGGGAAGGAGTGGACACGAAAGTTCAACTTCAGAGAGGAAAACTAAGAGCAATGCCAAATTAACTGAAATCTTCTGTTTTGAAAGAGGCCTCTTAATTAAAAAAAAAGCTAGTTCTTGGAAAAAGCACAATAATCAGAACCAAATGTAACTCATTAGAAAGTTCATGTGAGATAATTTGGGATTTGCAAAATTTGCTTTAATGAATTGTG